GTGTGTGTGTGTGTGTGTGTGTGTGTGTGTGTGTGTGTGTGATGAGCAGAAGGTTTCAAAGACAAAGCGGTGGGGAGGGTGAGGGCACTCGAGCCTCAGTAGATGCAGCATGATCTCACCCGCTGATGTAATCCCCTTTAGCCAGCAGCGCCACTCTTAGCGTGATTGACAGGCCGTGGCGAGCTCCCTCCTGCTCTCATTACCACAGAGCTGAGGTCACCTGCTGGCTTTGACACACACCTAAATCACCACAACGTCAGTGGAGTCAGCGTACACCCGTCAGCACGCAAACACCAGAGCCGCCAGCCGGACCCACATCACCGAGAGCCGCCGCCATTTTGAAATCGTTTTAGTTATGAACCATCAACACTGTTGTAGATGACTCGTTATCACAGGTTAGCGTTAACGTCTGAAAGCTAACAGAGGCTAACGGCTAGTCCAAACCAAAGTTGAATAATTAATATCTTCAAACAGCGAGGATTCATAGAGAATACTAATTTATTTTAAAATGTGTGCGGTAACACTTCCTGTGCAATCTGGGGTCACTTCTGACATGAGTTTTATTATTTTCTTGCTAAAACAACAGAATAATGCTAAACTGAGGGTGGTGTAAGGTTTTTAATTTTAGTATCATTCTATTGATGAGCGAATGGCTAGTCCTAGACTTTTAGATTTGAGAAACTGATGGTGGTAGAAAGCAGTTTTAATTAAATTTCCATCCCTAAAGAATACTCAATCATTTGTGGATCTTCTTTCTTAAAGAGATGTTTTTTATTCAAAAATACTTTGGTTTGTCGTGCAACGTTAGCAATATTTTTATTTTATTTTTTTTCACTCCATGTTGGGTTTCACCAAAGTGGACAGAAACACTGAAATGTTCAACAATTTAAACCTGCCTCATTGCATTTTATCACGGTCACTATAAACTAGGGCTGCGCGGAATATGCGGTAGACGGTAGAAACGGTATGACGTTGGCCTACGGTAAAAATTTACCCTCTACTGTCCTATCGTCATTACGTCATCGCTCCTGTGTCAACATGGCTGTGAGTGCAGAGACAACTGAGCAGGAGTTCCAAATATAATGAAGAAATTATAGTGTTTTAAGACACGTAGAGAGAATAAATCCTAAAAACTTCCCCTTCCATCTGTGGAGAAGTTATGTCGGGATTAAATGACTCAAGTAAACTATTAAAGACTATTAAAGAGAAAATCATTAATTCTTAAACCAAAAATCTAACAATTTGATGTTTTTATTTGATCTTACAAGCTGTTTTGTATCTAAGTTTTAACTACAAAACATGATGGTTCAGTTATTTCCATCATTTAGGTATTAAACCAGGTCTAAAACAATAAAATATCAAACGAGATGTTGCATTTATATCCATTTTAGTATTCATTCTTTAAACTAAAGCTTGAGTTTTGATCTTCCTGAACCTGAAGCTGTGTGCAGCGCCGACCCACTGATCGTACGCTGACACAGTGACCTAAAGATGGTGAAACCCAACACCAAACATCAGCATGTTCTCATTGATTTATCAACATTCATGAGCATGTAACACAATGACTGTAGCATCAGCTAAAAGGACTGCTGGGCTGAAGAATTGCTTCACACATCAGCTCCGGTCGAGCCAAACTCTGTTGTGTGTCTATAAATAAATTAAATAAGAGGAAAGAATAAATACAAATACAGTTTGTTTTTAAAGCTGGCAGGGATTTAGATGAAAGGGGTTGTGTCTGAGTTTAAAAATGAATAATAAAAAAAGAAAGAGTTGTGTGAGCTCCTGCCTGTGAGTGAGAGTGTAGCTGTGTGTGCATGGGGGCTGCGTGCAAAGCAAAGGCAGTCACGGAAAGGTCAATTCAGGGATGCGAGAGACTCACCAGGGGGTTCCTGAAGAATTCATATTTGGCATAGTTCTTCCTGAAGAGGAATTTACTGTCGCTGCTCATGGAGGCTTGAACCTGAACCACCAGCTCGTGGTCCTCCAGACATCGCTCTGCAGGAGGATGGACAGCGTTAGACACCTCGGCTCAGTCCAGATAATAGACTGAGGCAAACACTTCTTTTTAAATCAACGTACACACGGCTGTAGTTTCATTAAAATCTTTATAGACCAGCTAAGTTTATTTATTCTTTAATATTTATCTAAAGGACCACTGGGTTCACAGCTTTGTACTGTAGTGAATTAAGTGGGTTCAAAAATAGTTAATTTTTCATAATAATTAAACTAAATGACACTCAGAGTATTCTATGTAGTTGTATATAGCAGAGGTGTCCAATCCTGGTCCAGGAGATCCGCTATCCTGCAGGTTTTACTTGTTTCCCTGCTCCAACACACGTTCTAACATTTTAATTGTCCATTTATTAAAATCAAGTGTGTTGGAGCAGAGAAACCTTTCAATTGCAGCCATCGAGGACCAGGATCAAAGCAAATGAGACGGTGAGTTTTGACAAACAACTTGATCAACCAGTCAGATTGGAGCCGAGGCCAACCACTCATTTGGTTTTTGTAGTCGATTTGCTGACTCATTGAAATAAAAGGTATAGCTAACAAGTGGATATTATCTGGAGAAACCATTATTAACGAAGATGACTGTTCAATAAGATGATGTTGAAAAAAAGAGAAGACGGGACTCAAACATTGGGAGCTCCTTTGACCCACAATTTGCTTGCCGTCTGCTTCATAAATACTACAAACAAACTCAAGCTCAAGTTTATTTATATAGCGCCAAGTCACAACATACGTTGTCTCAAGGCACTGTGCATAAAATAAATAATCTAAAGAAGAAACCAGCAGGCTGCGTTGAATCATTTCATCACAGTCTCCCATCTTGAGCAAACGGCGGAGAGGAAAAACTCCCTGCTAATCAGGAAGAAACCTCCAGCAGAACCAGGCTCAGGACAGGCGGCCATCTGCCTCGACCGGCAACTCATGAACAAAATAACAATAATAATAATGTTAAATAATCACCTCATAGTGATTATTTAATATTATTATTGTTATTTTGTTCATGGTTAGGGACGTCCTGACATTAACAACAACAACAATAATAACAAAACAGCTTTGATATCAAAATGGTATAATTTCAGCCAATATTCAACACTGAATTGTTGGATTAGAAGTTAAAAGTGGATTGGTGTATTCCTAGTCCCACCCTCTTTTTTTCCTGGGCAGTATTTGCAGTCTCATCGGGGATCAGTTTACGCTACATGACAGTGTCCAGATTAGGCTCCAGAGTCTCAAACACATTTGTTTGACTGACTGGGACCGAGGTGGGGTCAGGTTTGTTTCTCTCACACACTGACAGATTTGTGTTCCAACTAGCCAAGTCAACTGTCCACAACTACTGCAGACCGGTTCAGGCACTGCCCCGCAGGGAACTGTGGGTAAAACTAAAAAAAAGAAAAAAAGAAAAAAAAAACATTATGAGGCATGTCCTCAGCTCAACTAATACGCTACAGAAAACAGGAGGTCATCTGAGGACAGTCATTATGAAAACTCTTTCATCCTTTTTTATATCCAGATAAACATCCAGTCATCTATTTTCTGTACTCCGCTTCTTCTTTCTGGGTCACGGGAGCTGGTGCCCATATCCAGCAGACTCTCAGAGAGAGGTGGGGGACATCCTGGACAGGTCCCAAGTCCATCACAGAGACACAGAGAGATAAACAATAAACTCATACCTTGGCACAATTTAGAGTTACAAATGAACCTAACTTGTATGTTTCTGGTCTGTGGAAAAAACCCATGGCTGCATAGGGAGAACATGTAGACTCCATCTAGAGAGGAGTGAGTTAAATTATGTTACAAATGAATGCAGGACTGAGTTATGTGCTGAGGTATTTTTGTGTGTGACACACCCTCACTATCAGGTATGTATGTGAGCCCAATAGTGGAAGGTGGCATGAGAAGCCAATGATAAAGAGCTCATTATACTCCATGTGAAGCCAAAGAATCAACGTTTTTATTTTTTTGCACACTCCTTTCAGAGCTCCTGAGACAATCCAAGCATGGTAAACCCGTCCCCCTGCAGTACACATCACCGCTTGGGGTTTCTTCCTGCTGGAGTCTACGCTCCAGAAACACATCTTCTGTTTTATCTCCAACCATTGACTATCTATAAACGTCTGCCTCCAGGTACGACAGTCAGATCCTGGAAGGGAGTAGATGAAGCAAAATGCAGCGTCTGAGAGCTTTCAGCATAAACAAAGATGACCACAAACTTCTGACCAATCACACAATAAGTGCTTATGCAGAGGGACGGGAACGCTTCTCCTGGTGGGCTGCGACAAGAAAGGGGGCAAACAAAATTGTGCATTTTTTGCCATGAAACTGCAACACAGAGCTGATTTCATCAGTTCATGGAGTATGTGGAGGCTTTTAACCTAACCCTATGAACTTGTTTAATCGCCTGAAAGTACAATTATCATCTATTAATTATCACAATAATCATTACTGGATAAATTGTGAGAAAATTTTATGTCAATATTGCTCAACCCTAGAGGAGGACCAAATGCCATAGGCGTGCTTTTCCACCTCTCATCTAAGTTTACTGAAGAACTGGTATTCTTCAACAGCAGGAAGCATACAGGTGTATTTGCTGGATTTTGATAAAAAAAAATAATAAATTTCAATCTAACTTGGAGCATAATAACTTATGTCATGTTAAAACGTTGCTCCTTTTGTTCCACATTGAAAACAGAAAGGCTAACATGATCCTCTTCTCGGAGCAGAACTGACTTGGGTCAGATTATCTGTCGTCCTCCTTTGTCCCGATCACTACTGGAGGTTTCTATATTTATCGCTGCGTCCCCGGCTGTGGGATTTCATACAATGACACAGCAAGAAAACCCACCTGTTACTGGGAGAAAAGCATGAGGAGGGGCGGTGAAGAGGAAAAAGAAGAGGCACTGTGAGGCAGAGAGGGAGGATGTGAAGGTGGAGAGGAGCAGGAGGAGGAGGGGGGCATTGCAGGAAGATGATGTCATGTGTTTAGGCAGATTGCTGAGAGCAGCAAAGCCATAAGCAAAGTCCAAGCCACAGACAAATACACGAGTGCACATTAGGAGCTCACCAAGGCCTAACCTGATCACTGGGATCCATCAGCTTTCTGTGTGTGTGTGTGTGTGTGTGTGTGTGTGTGTGTGTGTGTGTGTGTGTGTGTGTGTGTGTGTGTGTGTG